CAAAAATTGCAAAAAATTGCAAGGTAAACCCCCTAAAAATTGCAAAAAATTGCAACCTTCCTATTCAAGGCGCATTAGTACGGGCTTAACATTTTTAGTTTAAAAAACATGACAATTTTGAGTACCGGTATCATAAAAGCAGCACAGCCTTTTAAAAAATCATGACAAACAATACAAATTCATCAAATGTTATTAACAACATTTACTAGTAACAACACACGAGTACGTTAACAATAAAGTTATCGACCAATTAATATAATATGATAACGCGTGACAAAAAATAACGGAATCCTCGGTTTTCGTAATAACTTTTAAATGAAGGCATAAAATTTGACCAAATTTAGTACATGGCGGGTACTTGGTTCATGAAAAAATCTAGAAGGTTTAGTTTATAAAAAACAAAAAAATTGACGAGAGATTTTCGAAACAACCTCTAAATACAAAATAAGCTTATTCTCCAATCAAACCAGATCCTGTTCTATTTTTCTCTTGAAACCTTCGGTACACTGGTAATCTGTATTTAGATCTATTTCAGATATTTTCTCTTTTAACTCACTTCAGACGGGTCACACAACAGTTGCGTGACCCCCGCCGCGACGCTCGCGACGGGTCTCACAAGCCCTGCGTGACCAACTTTGGAATTTTTTTTTCGCTCTACAAATCACGCACGGATCGTGAGACCCGCCTCGTACCCTTGTTTGGCCAAGCCTGAGCTACTTAGACTTCGTTTCGTATCTCTGGGGCCGGTAGTTTTTAAGTTATTGAAGGTGAAGGACAGTGACCCCAACTGGGGTTGAACAGACCGGAACTCACGCTTTGTTTTTTTCTATACAGCTCATAGTAATCTGACAGTCGCGTCGTAGAAACGGTCGAAGAAGTCGCATGAACAAGAATCACATAATTTCGCCGTTTTCTATACTTTTGTGCGTTTTACTAGTTTAAGTGTCTCAGAATATGATGAGTTTAATAGTTAGGATCCTGGATATGTACCCGAACACGGCCCGAGTCGTAGTTCTAGGGCTAGATCTAGCACTAGTACCGGTGTTGTTTTTCGCGCAACGAAATCACAACGTCGTGCCGTACATCTGTCTCATGTAATTCAGTGTATGGGTCTGAATCAATGCACAGACCAGCTTTTATATTTTCACCAAACACTCGCACATGTATACAAATCAAACCAGAACACTTTGAACTTTTATTTTTGTTGTTGCAGTGAATTTCATTCTACTTGTCACGTCTCTGGAAATTTTTCGGAAAATCAAATTCATGCCAATTTTAAAAAAATCATACAAATTAAAGTATTAGACTTAGACAACTTTAGTTTTTAGTATTAAATTAAGCTTGAATGTTACTTTACTGTGTCAAAAAATGATTACAATAGGGTAATTCTGAGAGTTGTGGTGATTTATTGAAATACCCCCAAAAACGCCAGTCTTCAACGCTTGTGACTGGTGAAAGGGCCCAGTTGCAAGTGAGTTAAAACCGGCATGGTATTGTTTTAACACTAAGTCAAATCGTAAAATACAGCGATTTTTTTTTTCATTTATAAACAATAGTAATACATGTACTAATGTAGATTTAGATCATTTCTATAGCACCCACTCCCGTGTGAACGCAGCTTTAAGGCGTTTTACATGACGGGGTGTTTACGTACACGGTACACGGTACACGGACACGGACACCTAGCCTCAGTGTCTACGTAAACGGTAACCGGGAACTGGGCACGTAGTCTCAGTGTCACGTACACGGTAACTGGGCTGTTAAGAATTCCAAGTTCAGTTTTTGTCATCCGGTGTTGCCTTCAACTCCAGCCCTCCCCCGACTGTACATTTTTTTTAGAAAATCAATAATTCTCCCATTCCAGAGCCCTATACTTCGTAGCGCACAGACTTACTTTGAATAAACTTTGGTGTCCCCAACCGGTACTCACAATGTGATGCGAAAGCACAGGTTCACTGACCGGTAACGATGGCGAGCCTGACAAGACGCGTGTATAACTTTCTTTTTTTTATTTCAACAAGTGACAGCACAGGACAAATATTGGTTAATTTTCATTCCGGTGGGTTACCGTGTACGGAGATACTGAGACTAGGTGCCCGGTTACCGTGTATATAGACACATGCATCATGTACGAACAATATTCACGCGCGCTCACACAGTACACCTCACACACGCACACACCTATACTTTCTTATCACACGCGCACGTTTACACATTAGATAAAGGCCTAGCCCAGAGAAGGCCACCTTCTCGGCCTAGCCTATGTCTCAGTTTGTGTTGTACACAAGGAGTTTAGAACTAATCTTTTATTCTCCTTGGTTGTACCTGATGCATTCCGGCCTGAATTTCCGGTTATAGCTTTTAGAGTACGCTCAGTAGGCTTGAGCTGGGCCGATACTATGATTTACGTAGGCCTATCGGCTCTGTACTCGCACCATTTCGTATTAAAAATTCTGTTAAAATTAAAGCGTTGATGTATTTTTGCCTAAAATTGCAAGAAAATGCGAAAATTGCAAAAAATTGCTGGTTTATTACGGAACTCTAAGAAAAACACGGCCGCAAGACCGCGATTGCCTGGAGGGCCAGAAAACAGCCCCGCTCAAGTGTGTGTGCATCACTCTGCTTGAGTTTGTGTGTGGCCTTCTTCTAGAACTGTCTGCGTTGGTCCATAACCAAGGCATATATGTCTCATTCAAAACATGCCAAGTTGGTAGCTCTAATGTTCCTCCAATGAAATTATAGAACAAAATTGACCCACTTCTTAGACATGAGGAGCTCGAAAGGATAGTCAGGAAACAAGACTTCCATTTTTCTATACAAAATCTTTCAAATGAGTTTGATTTTGTATGAAATGATACTACCTGCTTGTTTGATGATTTTGAATACCATTGTCTTGTGCAGGTAAAAAGAACAATTTGAGTTCAAAACATTTGGAAATTGACCTATTATATTATATTATCCCCTTTCGAACCTCATGTCATTTCATAACAACAAGAGCGTCTAAAAAGGTTATTCGAATGGGCGTAAACTACTCGTAATGTCTTATCACCTTATGAGAGGGGGTTATTCATGTGTTCGTAACACTTTATAGATAGAAAGCTATAAAAGATAGAGCGTTATTTTCATCATCGATTAACACACTCCCACGGTATTCATGGCGAAAACACAGGTTTCCAGGCCCACTCGCTGTACTCCAACAGTACACACTGAGTGACCCCGACGGCCTCGGTTGCTGATAAGATTCGCATCTCAGCACAGACGCAGGAAAAGAGTTAAAATCACGGTGGTGCCCTCTAGATGTAGAAATCTAGTCTAAAATGCGTAGAATCTAAATCTAGATCAAGGCTACTTTGTGAACAGAGTTACCCGGCAATTGTTTACTTTCTCGCATTTAATCCCGGCCACGTCTAGATCGAGCCTAGACAAAACTCTATGCATCCCTGACTCGATATTATTCAATACTTTGCGCTGGAGTTAAGAATACGTAAACCTCGGCAATTTCATCATTTGTAGGTAGAGATCTAGAAGAATCTAGATGTAGATCTAGAACTAGAACTAGTAACATACTGGCTTTAGGCTTTCCTTACTGATTTTGATGGCCATTGAGTATATTAATAAAGTTCAGAGTTGTCGCCTGTTACGGAAGTCCTCCCCAGGAATTAAATGCGAGAAAGTAGCCTAAACAATTACCAGTTACCCTAGCCTTAGTTAGATGTAGATTCTACTTGTCGCAGCCATTTTTGGCAGTTTTTGGTCCGCCACGATTTTTGTATTTAATTCTTTAAAAAACCAAAAAACGCTGGAGAATAAAAAATCGGAAAAAAAAACTGGGAATAAAAATTGAGAAAAAAACAAACTGAACCTCTTTACTTTTAGGAAAAAAGAGTGACAAACATACAAAAGAAGTAGAGGAAAAATGATGACAGTAAAGATGAGGAAAGAAAAAGCAGCAGTTCCCCCTATGTTGTGCCGGCACAGTATGAGCATGACGTTGATAAATCAGCCTAAATTGACAATTTTACTGTGCATAAGAACATGTTAATATCCCCCCTTTGGGAATGGCCTAAAGACAACTTCAGTCAGTAGCACTGCCCTGGTGGGGGGATATATATGTGTATTCATATAGGCCTGTGTATATATATATATAATGTGTGTATTACAGTCTTCATCAGTATGATGGTTTACACCTGAGAATACTCCACATATGAGCCCAGTCTGCCTAAGAATCCATTTTTATCATGTTATTTTAAGTTGTTTTTTTAAAAATTGCATAAGAGCTTGTTCTAAATTAAAAATCTGCCTACGACTCCGATTTGAGCTTAAGGCAATATATATACTTTTTTGAGCTGATTTACCATGATTTGTACTGGTTGCAGTGAGAGGAGAGGAGTTGGCATTGATTAGCAGACAATGAAATCTTCACACTCAATGCATCAATTGGTACAAGACAATCACTTGCTTTTCTCAGGTGGTCAAAGTTAAAAGGTCTGATTGTCTTTTAGGCCTGTTCACATTCATTGTTTCCCTTCAGTCATGCAGCAGTGTGACTGGTGATGTTTTACTCTTTTAATATAGTACGCAGTCTAATCATAGGGCTAGTGTTGCATCATAAAAATTCAAGCTGAAGCGTCTGGTTCGTACTTTATTCAAAACAATGCTCATTACTGACATATGACATGCATGCACACACATGTAGGCCTACAGACATGTTTGAAAAAAAAGCAACCTCTTTATCTTCCTTCGGGCTTATGTTTTTATATACATAGTATATTGCTTGTGGATTATTTTTTTAATCATAGAAAAAGCAAGGGAAGCCGACAGGTTGGAACTGAGGTGCATCCCTAGAATTTCACCTCAGAAGAACCCGGTCTGCCTAAGAATAATTTTTTTCCATCTCCCGATGATCGAGGTCTTGAGCAGAGACTTCAATATTACGTCTTTGCACATTTTGTCACACCATCAGCAGTGCATCTACTTTGATGGTTTCATTCTCTCCCCAGATGAGGACTACACACGGGCTATTGAAAAATACTCTGCGGCTATCAAGCTCAACCCTTTTGTTTCGCCGTACTATGGAAACAGAAGCTTTGCTTATCTCCGCACAGAATGTTTTGGTTATGCACTCTCTGATGCATCAAAGGCACTTTCCCTTGATAAAAACTACCTCAAGGTAAGGTAACTAAATTTCAATAAAAATGAAGAAAAATTTGTTTTTCTGAAAGCATAGCGCAAACATTTTGTGATCATTTTGCAGGATGACTGTTAGGTTTCGGGGATCCCATGAATTTGAATAAAATCCGAGAGTCTCAGGATTGCCTTGAATAAACCTGGGAAAGAAATTTGTTCATTTAAGTTTGAAAACTCAAGCTGATAAGTTCAATAAGTTCACTTTTTGCCAGGCTTGTTTGAAGAATTCGCCTGTGTTTCTAAAGCGGCACTGACGAAAATGGGATGTCATTTGGAGTCGACACAGTTTCAGTTGGAGTAATCAAGATCTCTCTTCACTTTTGTTACCACCCAAATTAAATTCTCCCAACTGATCATATTTGTTATTCTATTGTCAGAAACACTGTGCTCCAACTATGTTTTCAGATCTTGTGACTTGACATGTAAGTAGGCCTACAGGTGTGTTAGGGACCATTGGTTATTTGGGGGTGGCCCAAGGAGGTTATAAATAGAATGGAGACTGCACTATGGGCAATTCCATGGTAACTCAAGAAACTGACGCGACTTTCTCTAACTACATTTGTGTGTGTGCCTCTAAAGAAAGATACCAAAAGTCGCCACAGACCATTTTGAGCTACAGGCTGATAATGACAAAAAATCACTTTTTTGGTACCAAAATGTGTTTCCATTAAAAAAATGATAGTTCCACCATTTTTTAACAATGTCAATGTGTTAAAAGTGTTTTCATTGAGTTGACTTCTAACTATTTTATTTTGAATAATTTTGAGGTTGGGTATGTTTTAAAAAGATAATGAAAACTGCTTTTAAAAGGTGTTAAAATCTTTTCTTGAAGCATGTTTTGTCTTCCTTGCTGTTTTATCATTGACTTCTAATCATGACATTGATGTCATTTGAATGCCAAATTGGAAATGAATTTTCCATGAATAATTATATTAGAAACAATTGAAGCATCGTTTTTTTTCTCAAGTTTTTATGTGTTCTAAACTTAAAAGTTAATTTTCTCAAAATTAAATTTTTATACAGTGGAACTTAGATTTAACGAGCTCGGATTCAGGAGAACTCGGATTCAACGAGATGAGATAGATTCCCCGTTTTTTTTCTTCTTTAAAATCAATAAAAGTAACCCGGATTCAATGAGCACTTAAATCAGCTTGCATTCAACGAGGTCGCTTCCAGGGTGAACAGCCCCCGCAGACGTGGCTTCGCTCATTTTTCTCCCAGAACGAACTTTATCTATTCCCGGAAACCATCCACTTCACTTAGCCGATTGCATGCGACCAATTAGAGGCCTTTTTAAATACCAACACATGTGTTGTTGGCACGCGCACGTGTCTACTGTGGCGTGTATCGGGGTCGGATGGGCGGCCTGCACACGTGTGGCTGTGTGTGCGTGTCGGGGAGGGGAGGTGGCACTAGCGGTCCGGACGTTGAACGTGGCGTATACAAACGCGTCACAGTCTCTTTTTTCCCCTCGGCAACTGATCATTATTACAATAATAAGCTAGTCTTGACGTAGATCTACGTAATCAAAAGTTGCCATAGGCTAGGCTCTACACACCAACACAACTTTTTAGTAAACAATCGAGATGACACAGGCATGTGTATTTGAACAAATCAGTCTTTTTTTTTACACAGCTCAAAATATGCAGGTATTTCAAGCACTACTTGTGACTTCTCTTGTACATTACTTGCTCAGTGCCTGTAATTATCTACACAAAACCTCGTGTTTGCTATAACGAACACTCGGATTCAACAAGATTTTAAGTCAGGCCCAACGACCTCGTTGAATCCGAGTTCCACTGTACCCTACGTCACAAGATTTGCAATATCTCAAAAACCACTTGAGATGTCTAAAAAATAAAAAACCCACTGTATTCAGCTTTGAATGTCCTATTAGATAGAACCATTAACTCAAAATGGTTAAAATCCGACTTTTGGTACCTTTCTTTAGGCACACACACATTTTCTTACAATGATATAACTGTAATTCAATAATAATGAATTCATTTCAACTTTAAATGATTAGAACATTTGAAAGGCATATTTAACCCTTCCAGCCCCAGCCATTTTGTGCACTCCCTTACCCCTGTCCCAGCCAGTACAGCAGTATTTCACTTTAAGAAAAAGAGGCATGCATTCTAAAAAGTGATAGAGTGTCTTTGTAAAAAGGTTTAGATAATATAGTGGAGTCCACTTATAATGAATCCTGAAATAACGAGAAGTCTGTTATAAAGACACTATTCTAAAACCCCGTTTTTTCCCTTCTTTATCTTTGTAAATAAAATACTGCTATACGCAATCAGACAAACACGAGAGTCGGTTATAGCGGAATATTGCTGCTGCTGTGCAGTGCATAGGCCAATTATACTTATTATTATAATATTATGTAAAACCCGGCCAGTTGAGAAACAAGGTGATCTAGCGAAACAAAGAATGGGAGAGCTCATGTGTGCCAACAATGAAGGCCGGATCGAATGAGTGGGGAGGGTGTGGCATGCGTAGACAAGCAGTATGCATTGCGTGATAGGCCAGCCTAGTCTAGATTATCTAGGCTTACCGTGCATCTCACTTCTCCGATGTGGGGATGGAGAGGTCACAATGCTGTGATGGATGGAGCGAATGTGTGACGTGGGAAAACATTTAAAACATTTAAAGCAGAATACAAAAAACTTATAGAAAAATACCCCGGTGCGGAGCTAATCTTCACAGGTGGCTCTAAATCGGACTCAGCTGTGGGCGCCGCAGCCCTATCCTCAAACAGTACACACCAGAGGAGACTCTATCCTGAAGCCTCCATTTTCTCCGCAGAGGCCACTGCCATTGACATGGCAATGAACTCCGTAGAAAATTCTGTACACGTTTGGACCATTTTCATCACATATTTCAAATGTTGATACATTGTCTTCCTTCTTTCGGAGTACCCCCTCTCGACAAATTTACAGATAATCACAAATCGAAACTTAATTGTAATTCTCTCTTTTAACAAACCACAAGACCATTAATAACATATATACAGACGTGGATTTTATAACATTTTGAATGTTGTGTTGAGAAATTCTGATCCATTTTCACGGCAGGGCAACCTCCAATTGTAGCAGGTTTGCAAAACGTCCTCTTGCACGCACTGTGAACTTCAGTTCATGGCATAATACGTGCGCTGTTGGAGACATGTCGGATAGGTACACTGGCCAGTCCATGACATTCATGTTATGATCTTCCAAGGGTAGGAGTGTCGTATTGGATGACCGTGTTGCGCACAGTGAAAACGGTGCTGTTGTCGTGGGTTTGCTAATAGCAGTTCTAAATAAGGCGTTCTTGATATAATTTGTGGACTAACTACTTGGCGCCTGACTTTGATCAAAGAAACATTTTCACGCACTCCTTGCATGCCTTGAGCTGTGACTTTTGCAAGAAGGAAACCATTCCGCAGATGTGACTGCAAAATCTGTCTGTCTTGAGCAGGGCTGGTCACTCCAGGCTGTCTTATTATTTGTCTATCCTGGACATTGCAAGTGTGCTAAAATCTTTGGATAAGTTGAGAAACAATACACGCGCTGCATTTTAACAGTCTTGCTGTTTCTCAGGGAGATTTTCACCTTGAACTCGGCGGCGGCAAAACTTCTGGTCAGCGTCGCTAAGTTAAAGCGTCTTGTGAGGAAAGAAAAATCAAAACTAAACGCAAAAATGTCAAGACTTTTGCTTGGAAAGAGCCACTTTATCTTCAAAGAGAATTAAATGATTTTCATGAGTAATATTGTATCTCATTGACACATTTTACCAAAGCACAGGTCTCTGTGCTGTGATGAAAAGTACTCTGGAAATAACGAAAGTTGTGCATGGGTGTGTGAATTTACAACTTCTCACCTCTGTCTCTAAAAATCGTGACGATCAGAGCATATTAAAATTTAGCTTTCATATAGCCTTTTAAAAACATAACATTTTTTATGGCGTTCAGTATATATAAAATATTTTGTGTATATATTATATATTGGCCTATGTTGTTTTTTTTTTGGCGCTGCTCCTGCGGCGACAAGGTCGTGTTTACATAATGCTTAGACTTAGTGACCATAGCCACCCACTAACATCGGAATTTCAAATATCGACCCGCAGAAAACGATACATTTCCAAAAAAGCAAGAACAGACAGATATAGAAATTCATTCGTACCAACTGCAGTGAGGT